GGGTGGTTTATAGAGAAGACTCATAGTTAAAGGCAACAGACTGGTGGTTGCCATAGGGGAGGCAGGTTGGGGGATGTGTGAAATAGGTGAAGGAGGAAAAATTTTAGTGAGACTATTTGATATGTTGATCTGGGTGGTGGTTACATTAGTGCACATACATGTGAAAATTCAAGATGTACACTAAGATTGTGCATTTTATTGTAGGTACCTCAACATAAAAATTAAAAAGGAGTGGAGTTAAAAATAACCCAAAATGGATTAAAGACTTAAAGGTAAGACCTGAAACCATAAAACTAAAAGAAAACATAGGCAGTAAACTCTTGAACATCAGCCTTAGCAATATTTTTCTGGATGTATCTCCTCAGGGAAGGAAAATAGAAGCAAAAAAAACAAATGGAACTTGTTTATATTAACTAAAACTAAAAAGTTTCTGCACTGCTAGCAAGGGAAACCACCAACAAAACAAAAAGGCAACATACTGAATGGGAGAATACATTTGCAAATTATGTATCCAATAAAAGGTTAATATCTAAAATATATAAAGAACCCATACAACTCAACATCAAAACTCAACAACAATAAATTTTTATTAATATAAAAATAATAATAATGCAATTAAAAAAAGAGCAGAGAACCTGAATAGACATTTTTTCAAAAAAAATACACAGATGGCCAACAGGAGCCTGAAGGATGTTTTACATCACTAATCATCAGGGAAATGCATGTCAAAATCACAATAAGGCATCACTTTCACCAGTCAGAATGGCTAGTAACAAAAAGACAAGAAGTAACAAGTTTTGGTGAGGATGCAGAAAAAAGGGAACCCTCATGCATTGGTGCTGGGAGAAAGAGCCACTATGAAAAACAGTATGATGATTCCTCCAAAAATTAAAAATAAAATTACCATATGATCCAGTAATTCCACTTCTGGGTATTTACCCAAAGAAAACAAAACACTAATTCAAAAAGATATATGCACCCTTACGTTTATTGAAGCATTATTTACAATAGTAAAAATATGGAAGCAACCTATGTATCCATCAATAGATGAATGAAGATGTGAGATATATATACACATATATATATATATATACACACAATGGAATATTACTCAGCTATAAAAGAGAATAAAATACTGCTATTTATGATAATATGAATGGATCTAGCAAGCATTATGCTAAGTGAAATAAGTCAGTAGAGAAAGACAAATATTGCATGATTTCACTATATGTGCTAAAAAATACAAATAAGCAAACAAATAAATACCCAGAAACAGACTCATAAATACAGAGAACCAACTGGCAGTTGCCAGAAATGAGGGAGTTAGGGAGATAGATAAAATAGGTGAAGACAATCAAGAGGTATAAACTTCCAATTATAAAATAAGTCATAGGGTTAAAAGGTATAGAATGGGGAATATAGAGAATAATACTATAATCATTTGGTATGGTGAGAGATGGTAACTATATCTATCATGGTGCACATTTAGTAATGTATAAAAATTTTGAATCACTATGTTATACACTTGAAATTATTATATTATATTAATTATACTTCAATTAAAAAAAAGTGGGGGTTGTTCTTTCATGAAACATATATACAGTTTTTGTTCTGAGTTTACAGGAAACATAATTTTTTGAAATTTTGGATAATTAAGACTTATCTTTCAATTAACCAGTGTTCTAAGTGTTTTTAAATATATGAATATATTAATTTTCACAAAAATCCCATGAAAAAGCCACTATTAATATAAAAAAACAGAGGCAAAGAGGTATTAAGTAATTGCTAAAAGTAACACAGAATCCAGGCTGTCTGGGTCCATGGTCTACATCTTTACCATTTACTCCATATAATGCTTCAACTACCTCAGAGAAAAATTTATTTATGCTATAAAATATAAACAAGTAATATTACTAATGGTAGCATTTTTCTATAACCAAATGCAGAAGAACAAGGTAGAAGGGTCACTTAAGAGTTATATTTATGTCAAAGCTTGGAAAAATGTTGGCTTTAGTTCAATAGTGTAATATGTAGTCTGGCATTACATTTGTGGGATGTAAAAATATAAAATTTAATATTTTTGTTGAAACTTATTTTTAGTCAAGATTCAGTAAGAGGCCACAAGTCTCAATTCTTAATGAGAAAAATTTAATGAAAAACTTTAAATTGTTGATGCAAGTGATTTTGAAAATGCAGAGCACATATTTAAGCATTAGCTTTTATTTAAATTAATAGGGAATAAAGTTAGTAAATATTTACCTATTACCACAATATTTACATTAAATATGTTAATCTTATAGTCAAGGCAAAGTTGTTTCTAATTTTTTAAACTAAAAAGGTAAAAATTTATAGTGTCATCTAAAAATTATCAACATATCTTTGATATTATTAATTTATGTAATAAAAGGCTACATTTGTTAAACAATTTTGTAGAAAAATTGTTTTCATCAAGTAATAAGTTTTCTGTCATAGGGACTGATTTTATTCACTAACTTTGTGACTAGTAACCCATTGACGCTGACCTTGCTGGTCTTATGATTAATCAACTAAAGAGGAAATTGTACAGATTCCCTTAAAAATAATAGAAAGGCAGTAAGGTCTTGCTTCTTATTAAAAACAATTATTTGATAAGTTCAATAAGCAAGTGGTTATAACAGATTAACTTTAGAACCCAATGTAGAATCTTGATTTTTCCATCTCAGGAAGCCACTGACAACCTAGAGGGTGACTTGAAATTAGTGACCTAATGAGAGCAGCCAATAACTATATTATTTCCTAAAGAGTTTAAATAAGTGGAGTTATTTAACCTAGGACAAAAAGAACCACCTCAGTATGAAGAATAATACTCATATAACAGATACTGCTGTAACTCAAATCTATTTTTCATAATAAGCACGATGTTAAAGACACGATGCTTCTCTTGATGCAGTTCAAGACTAACATAGCCATTTTGGCTACGTAAATACGTATATATCCATACATATGTATATTCACTCATTTAATTCTTAAAACAACTCTATGTGGTAAATATTATTATTACTATTATGTATAACATTTTTTTCTTTTACAATAATGGAAACTAAGGTATGCAACTAAGGAGTGAGGGAATTTGGATTTGAACTAAGACAGATTAGCTTTTACTATCTTTTACATTGTACTATTTCATAATAGAGCTGTTTATATAGTTGAAGTTCTGTCATGTCAAAAGGGTAGATTTTATGCTAGCTGTGCTTAGCTTTTGAACCAGACAAAACACAAAGGAAGATGAAAGTGACCTATTGGGGCCAGCCTGTTTGTGACTGAGAAAGCAGGATTAGTACTTTAGGGAAAGGTTGACACCTTGGCACAATTGACATTTGGGATTGGATAATTCTTGTGCATTTCAAGATATATAGCAGCATCCCTGGCCTCTAGCCTCTAGATGTCAGTAGCAACTCCTCAGTTATGATAACCAAAAATAACATCCTCTGCAGGTCAAAATCACCCTGGGTTGAGAACCTTTGCTTTGAAGACAAGGATACAGAATTTTCCCTCTCAATGTAAGAGAAAAATAAGCAGGATAAAAGGTTTAAGGTCAAAGCACAAGATTCATAAGATAGAACATATCAAAAAGGAAAAAGCAGTATGCAGCCAGGAGCTTAATAAAAAAGTAAAAATGACCAAATGTAACTGATAAACATATCCAGAAGTAAAAAAGGAGTTGATTTGAAAGGAAAGACATGATCTCCAATTCCAAGATCTCATTTCCCTCTTTCACTCACTCTCATCTAATTTGGCAAGGGCTTAAACTGTTTTTTCCAGACTATGGAGTTATAATTGATAATAAAAATTGTGTGTGTGTACATATATATATATATATATATATATATATATATATATGAGGTACAATTGACGATTTAATATACCTACCTATACATTGTAAAAACTTAAACCATTTTTAAGGGTGGAAACTCTCACACACACACACATAAAAAGTTCCAAATGCTGTATAACTACTATAGAGCAAAAGATTTATCTGACCATCTTCATCATTCTCCACCAAGGAGAACAGGTACATGGCTCCATGCTAGGGCCGTAATACTAGTTGATGGCAATACTCTCATGCCAAATTTAGATACAACCTAATTCCCTCAACACTGTATTCTAGGCAGAACATATCAATAACCAGAGTTGACATGTGAGATGAAATCAATTTTTCATAGCAGTTATAGATGCTATGTTTCTCTTGGTAGATTCTAAGACTAACATAGCCATTTTGGCAATCGTGCAAAACAATTAACTCAGAGTGAGCTTACTTTTCTACAAGATATGTTAGCATTTCTTCATCTATGCTGCTATGCAGCCACACTGGCAAGTTCAGGACATCATGGAACTTTATTTCACTAATGATACGCTCATATTTATATTCACTTGTATTTAAACCTATAGACACATATAAATCAGGCTGTCATGTTGTAGATTTCACTTCCAAGTCATCTACAAATATGGTAAGAATTATTTTTAATCTCTTTGTCAAATGAATTAACAAAAATGTTCAATTCAACAGATTATTGCTGCACCAGAAACCTCACAATTTTATAGCTATCTGCCTTGAGGTACCATTGATTCAATATTTAAAACATCTTCTGAGAGGTACTCTTAACAGCTTTTCAAAAGATTATATTTAGTATCCAAGTCTAGCTGCCAGCCTATTATTTCATATCATGAATCCTTGTCAAAAGCTTTGTTGACATTCAGGTATATTGTACCTGCCATTTTCCTAATCTACCCTCAAAGACAGAATTAAGGTTAATATAACAACACTCATATTTTAATGAAAAATTTTAATGACTCCAGTTCTTTACTATTTCCTCTTAGGGCTCTCAAACTAAGTTTCTGCAAAGGTGTTTATAATTCAAAGAGGAATCATGATGTAAAAAACATGTCAAAAGGGATCTTCCAGCTTCCTGAAATCTAAATAAGATCTCCCTGAAACTCTGTTCTAAACCCTGCATAAGACAAAGGCCTCTCCCTACTTCTCTGAATTTCCAGGGAGGCTAATATTATTGGCATTTTGCCTGGTTTCTGGCTTTGTGCTTCAACAGAAGGTGTTCAGTTAATGGGCTATCCAGCCATCCCACACAGATTAACAGAAACTAGAAACTGACGATCACATGATCTCCCTGTTGGAAAGACCTGTGGCTTCTCTAACACAAGAGTAGTTTCTGGAGCCACACATCAGCCCAAGTTGTATCCTATTGTTACAAACCTTTTAGAATGGTCTCCCCAACTCTCTCCTCTTCCTTTTCCTCTCCTCTTCCTTCTTAGAAGCAGAAATCAAATTCTTTTTGTTTTCTCTCTCAAATGAACTATATTTACTTGCTTCAGCTCCTTCCCCTAAGATATCTGTTATCTTCCATAAGGTATTTTCCTAAAATTGAAGAGGGTGAGAAATATATGCACTTACCAAGAAGAAAGGATAATATGAATGACTAAAGTCAACTGGATGTCAGTAAAAAGCAAAGCAAGTCCATTGAAGTGTGGCAGTTGACACCCTGATTCAGTGTTGGGAAGCTAACGGGAACTGACGGGGACCACGGTAAAATGAAAAGGACATGCCCAGTCCAGGGGGAGAAGCTGTAATTACCTAGCTACAAAAAGTGTTTGACATGTGGGCACAGTAATCTGCCTTTCTGAGAAATCTGAAATCCAAAGTTTATGTAAAGTCTCCACAGTTTTAAGTATTGGCTTATTTTAATATAAAGCATTCAGGTTATTATGTCTGTAGGTTACATAAGGCTTGGGGTAACCAGTGGGCAATTGCTGTTCTAAACAAAAACGTGTCGTCCCAAGTTAATTCAGTTGCCTGTTGTTAAACAAATAAAATTTTCACTATCACTCACATCCTTTACATTTTAAATGCCAGAGAAAGCAGTTTATAGAGATGTAGCTAGTAATCTATGAATTTCAAAGCTAACATAACTAGAAGCCAACATGGAAATGGCCATAGAATTCCTAAGTTAGCTTCATGTGATTCATCTTATTTTATATGAACTCAGCTTTAAATTTTCTTTGAAGGGACAGATCATATTAGTGTTATTATGACAAAGACTCATTAGCCATCTGGTGAAACAATGAGTCTAATTGATTTTCTGAGTACTAAAAATTATTGCCATGGGCCTATCAGGTGATTTTTTGCCAGTCAGAATATTTCTGCATAAAAAAGTGAACAGCTTTTAACTGTAATGTCATGATTCAGTAGTAACTTAAGATGCAATTACCTCTTTTATTATCACATACAAGTACAGTTTTTCAACTATACAAAGACAACTAAAAGATGCACTATAATACCTTTTAAAAGGTACTTTCATCAATCTTGTTGTTCTGTGCTTCTCCGCTTTTCTCTTAACTTCCAGCACTTTGTGTGTCTTGTGTCCTCTCCCCTTTAGGCATCATACCCTATGGCATGAAAGGAGTTAGTATTCACTTCATGATAGCTCTTGGAACACTACTTTGATCCTCCTAGGAAAAAGTGCTGCATGACTTTAATAAGTAGGCATATTATGTAACTGCAATGAAAATTTTCTAAACCTTCTGTGAAATTTATGACAGGCTCCCATCACAGGTCAAACTTAAGCCAACACTTAACAAATCTTGATAGCTTCCCATTAAAAAAAGAATAATAACACTAAAGATGAATTTGTACAACCAGAATTTCTTTTTACCTGAGAGTGAAAACAGAGGAAACTTCACAAATATATTTTAGTCTGCAGGAGAAAAAAATGAACTTTGTATCCTACAATTCCTTTGAGACATACTATTTTTATCCTCTCTTCCTCCCCAAAATATCTTTTGCATTTTTAAGTACCCTGATTATTTTTGTAGCTAATAATAATTACAATCATCAGAATGACAAAAGTCTTAGGCAGTAAGTGAAAGATAAAATTAACTACTGAGCTCTGGAAAGGGAATGAATTGTTTCTAGCTAAGGATTAAAGAAAGATTTGCTATTAATAACAATGTTGAGCACAGCTGTGAATATTTTCATGCCTACCTGCACAGTACTAAGAGGAAAGGGAAGCCAAAGGGAAATCCAGTAATAAGATTTAATTTCCTTTAAGTTAACTTTATGTTTGTTAACATTTTACCAGGTTTTCAGAGATTTCTGCGTATGTGATAATACCGAATGTAACAAGAAAACATTTTTTCTTCTCTTAGCTAAAAAATACAGAGATAGGTTTAAAGAAGCAAAAACTGGATTGGTGACTATAGGTCTACTCAGCTCCAAGTCCTTAAAAATCCTGTTTCTCCAAGTCCCTTCGTCCATCTACTGCACCACTTAAATGTCCTATTTGAATACCTAAGGATCCCATTTAGCATTTGGGTCCTTCTCATGCATAGGCCCAGACAAGAGAATAAGTTCTGATTACTGTTGCACTACAAAGGAAAGTCTTTTTTGGAGGTTAATGTGCCAGAGCAAAGCCCATGGCTATTTAAGCAGAAGTTATCAGTACCATAGTGTAATGGTCTGTCAGTATTTGCTGGGCCTTGCCTCCATCCACCTGTTCAGAAACCACATCCGATTCCATTGAGACCATCCTGAGCCCCTCCCAGAGACAATTAGAGGGAATGCGTCAGTATTCCAATAACGCTCACCTTTGAGCATAGTATTCGGGAAAATGTGATTAACAATCTTCCTTACCCAAGGCCTGAATCCTGTTCATGTGATTAAGACACTTGTCTACTACCAAGTTTCCCAGACAGACAAATTTCCCGGGGGTGTCACCATTACCTGCTGCCAAACGCTTCTCCTGCCACGTCGTACTGTCTGCCAGGAAAGCTGCCTGTCTGCCTGGCGGTCCCTGGGCTTCCTTGGGGATGACAACTGACCCACCCACATTTAGTACGAAGAGGCTCTGATTCCCACACTGGCTCATCCCACAGTCAATAACAGAGTATAGACACGACCATTTAAAGAAAGTCTGGCATTAAGTTTCTAAGCTGGAGCTAAAAAAGCATGAGGATTTAGAAGTCTTTATTCTCAGACAAACCTAAATTTGCTATGTTAAACCGACTCAGCAATGACCCAGAGAAGAGTCAGCTCTTTGTCCATAATAGTAAATGTATCATCTTGTTAATAATGTTGTTATAAAGCAACACGGCTTTCCTTTTAAGGCAGTATGAGTAGCGTTTTGAGAAATGTTTATATCTATTTTAAATAAAAGACGTCCATTAGGGTGGGTGTTTTGTTTTTTTGCAGTCTCTATAAATGTTCCCACAAAATAAAATGAGCATGGATGAATTCCGTGAATACAATTAACAAACTGCCCAAGGTTTTGGAAACACTATACACAAGGCTTCCTGAAAATGTCCGTATCTGGTCAGCAGCAAGACAATATCCTGTCTTGTCCTATACTGCCACCATGTGGGTAACACAAGTAGGGTAGTCTAACTACAGCAATTTTGAGTCACTTCCCTTCCACCAAATATCCAGATGACCTTACATCTCAGTGCACCTAAGACAGACCAGGTTTACATTCTTGTCACAGTATTCAATAACAGAACCACCTCTTATTCTCAAGAGTTTCCTAGTTTAGATGATAATTCGTAACTTGGACAAATAGGGGCTTATCCTAAATGATACTACCTCCAGCCATTGTGTACTCATCTATCTCTCTTGTTCATTATACACCAGGTCTTTATATTCTTCAAAGATGTCAAGCTTTCCTGTTGACATTTCCCTCTACTGGAGCTCTCTCTCTTCCTCCAGGCTGAAATAAGGGTGCTTCTGCTTGTCATTCAGGTCTTAGCTAAAAATAAGTGACTTCCTTCTCAACACCCCAACTCATCTGCTACTATCTCTGCCTTAAATGATAAAAGCTGATTTCATTTAGCCCTTTAACACTGTTTATGGCTGTTACTTCAAGAAGCCCCAGAATCTCTCATACTCTAATCCTCATAAGGCAGTTAGGACCACCACCTCTACCATGAGTCCAGATGGGCCTGGAATGGTTCCTTTCTATGCCTCCCATACACATCAGTGGTGTCCCTTTACACTTTAAGAAAGGTCCTATCTGGAAGATAAATCATATATTCACCATGCCTCTTCTGTATCTTTCTGCTAATATCTCCCATTTAATATCTAATATCAATTTCTAATATCTCCCATTGCACCTTCTGAGATACTTGGTTCATCATCAGCAAAAAAAGTCCTCTATATTTATTGTCACCTCTTCTCTTAATATTCCCTTTATTTTCTTTCTGAAATTGAAGCCTGGTTCTTCCTTGAGGACTGTGCTTTCTTATGGCTGTCTTATCTTATGCAACTAGCATTCCCACCCACTACCACACAGCCCTTGTACTAGGGGATCTGAAGACAACATATTTGTCTTCCTTAATCCTCACTCCTGCTTTCAGAACTTTTGCTGCCTCTTCCTTAATAATACAAGAACTTTTAATCACATATCAGGCGATAACTCACTTTTGCTGTCACTTACCACCTAGAAGATTTGTCGAATTTCTCAACAATTATAAATCCTAGACACCACTGTAGTCTGAGCCACTCATCAGTTCTTGGAAAATACTATGACACTCTATTATCAGGAGATTTCAGAAAGAATGCTACCCATCACCTGGGAAGAATACCTTGTGAGCTACTGTATCTTATTAACACAAAAGAAATGGTTAGTATATCCAATTAGTTCCCTGTCACAGTTAACGGTAGATGAAAGTGCTGTATTAGAAAAGGACATGGCCTAGACATGCTTGATGAAGATACTGTGAAGAAGTTCGAGGATGGGGTTATCGGAGAGTTCTACTGTCAGGAGAGAGGTGGAAGGTGCAGTGTGAGAGCCAGCATGGAGCGGCAGCGTGGGCGAAGTTAAGGGTGGGAGATGAAAACAAGTATTTATCAGTTTTGTCCAGATCTGCTTTTAGCTCCTTGCCTATTCTGAAATAGATTTGCTTAAGTTCAACTGACAACTTTGTTTTTCCTTGTAATCATTTCTTCTCAAGAACCAGGGGACCATAGCAGACTAGTCTTCTAGCCTTGGCATCTAATACATAGAGGTATTCAGTAACTGCTTTAAGCATAGTCAAATAAATCATTCAAATGTATGTTTCATTTGTTTTAGTATGTGCCAGGTAGTCACTTTTCTTTAATAATGCATTGAGAAGAGTCCCTGTGATGATTAACTGAGATGTTGTCTATACAGAATTTAGCATGTCCTGGGCGCAGAGCAGGTTCTCAGTAAGTAGTAGTTATTCATAGTGTTATATGAATTTCTGTATTTAAATACTTGAATTGCACTTTCCATCAGGCTTCTGAATGAATCTCTATAATTCCCTGTCCATAAAAAGGAGATAAAAGATGGTTTTTCCTTCTGTATGTTTTTTGACTTTTCATTTTTTTTGTTTTATTATAGGAATCAGAAGAAATTAAACTTGTTATAAACATCATAAGCATATAAGACTCAAAGAACAAAAGTAAGAGACAGCCTAGCTCTGTTCTGAGAACATGCTGAAGATCAGTTACTAGGGAGAGACAAGGGGACATTTAAAATACTTTACAGAGAAAGTGCCCTAAGTCCCTCACTGCTCCACAACATAGCTACCCCAAAAGAAATATTCTTTTGAAACATGCTAAGTAAAATACTTAAATAATACTTCTTTCTATTAATTCTAAGTTTTATTCTGAATGAAATTTCCACTTTCCTTTTATAATCAAATAAATGTGCACATATAGAAGACTAGACTTCAGACCTCATAAAAATTCTGCAGGAACTCATACAAAATAGTTAATAATTTTATTATTGCCCAAAGAAATTTTTATCAAACTGAGTATTGCCTCCTACTTTATAGAGAAAAAATCATAAGTGTAATGAATGAGAACTGTTGGTCATTTTCACTTCAATTTTACCTATATGAAAAATTATCAGGTTGGTTAGTTTATGAAGACTTTGATATATTTATAAATCAAATAGTTTTACAATTAAGAAAATATATTATTTGAAAGACTTACTATATTTAAATGTATATTCTCTTCTTTGTTCTGCTGATAATTTCACTGCCAAATCATGATGGGTGGACCTAGGCCAAAAAAGATTGTTAAGTATTTCATTCCCTTCAAGGGATAACTTCCCAATTTACTAGCTTTTATTATTAGATACCTGTTCCAGCATTTTACTTCAATGATGAATCCAAAATTACTCAGCAATCAACCTAAAAATCATGGTAAATCTCAGCTTCCAGAATAATACAACAGCTCCTTATTTTAGGAGACAAAACTTATTTAAGGAAAATTGTATCTGTTTAGTGTTTTGTTATGACAAATCTAAAGATAAAGAGCCACAATTTATAAGTAACTAAAAAGATTTTCTTGGTTTTACTGGCTCTTTTCAGCATTTGTTCCATATTTGGTCAAACTTATTTGAGTATACCTTGCCAGAATACTGAGTAAAGGCAACCATGATTCTTGACCTAAATAAAGAGTTACAAATAAGGCCAAGAAGAGGACAGAGATGAGAGAAAGCTGAGCAGGAGGTGGAGGAAAGGAGTGAATACTAATGAACTTTCCTCTACATTCCCCTCCCCTTGTTCTTCACCCTTAGTCACTGGCAAGCACCCAGTCATTCCTCTAATTTATCTCTATATCCTGTTGGCAAACTACTTCTGCTTAGGGAAACACTTACAATTTCCAAGATTAAAAATCAAAATGTGTAAGGGGAATGGAGAGATAGAACAAATTTTCTTAGGGTTCTTCTCATAGTTGTGAATGTCCAAGAACACACAAGGAGGGTTTCTTCACAGATATTTTTTAAGCACCTAAGTTTTGGAGTGAAGGGGAGAGAAGAAATAAAAAAGACAAATTAGCAAATTCTTGGAAGGGTGAGGTGATCAGTGAAAACAGCCTAAACTGGACAAATACCATTAAAAAGGAAGAGAAAGAAGAAAATCAGAGGGATTTTTAAAGTGTACTCACAAAAGATTATTGGGAAATAATCAGATCTGTGTAATAGGAGACAAGAGGGAATGCAGAATGACACCAAGAACAGGAATCTAGGTGGTCAATGACATCATTAACCAAGAGAAGGAATACATAAGGAAGAGCAGGCTGGAGTGGGAAAATGGTCCTTAGGTTTGGGGCATATTAATTTATAGTCTGACATCCAGGCATAGTGCTCTAATATGCAATTAGAACACCAGCCTGGAGTCTAAGAAAGAGACTGGGGCTGTGGTCAGTCATCAGGGCATGAATGACAGTGTGGGCTACAAAGTAGGCATGTCTACCTGGGCTTCAGCTCAAGGGAGGCTAAACAGAAGAAGGGCTCTCGGACAGTAAATTCATGCCAACTAGAAAAAGCAGTATTTTTCTTAAAACACCATCAAAATACAAATTTACCTCAAAAGGATTATCATTATTAAAATTCTCATTCTACTTCTATCATACCTTACTTTAAAATGGTTGTGCATTTTGAATGTGAGATTAAAGTAGGTATTGATTGTAGAAAAGAGTTAGTATCTTTATATGACTTTACATTTAAAATAACTCATTTCCTCTTGGAAATCTCTTTTAAAGGATATTATAGGTTCTGTGTTTTTTAATGTAGCCAAATCTTAGTTTTTTCCTTCATAAATTTCTTTCACTGCATTTATGCTTAAAAAGGCCTTCACCAATTTTACATTATATTATCCAATGATTTTTTCCTGAATAATTTCATATTCATTTTACATTTACTTCTTCAATCCACCTGAAGTGACTTTTATGACTACATAAAAGTTTCACACCTACTCCAAGCTGCTTCTCTCTACACTCTCCTACCAAAATAATCTATCAGCACCATTTACTAAATATTCTTTCCTTTCCCTATTTGATAATAACACAAATCAGTAAGTAGAAATACTATTTTCTGCAATTACAACACAGAAAAATGTTGAAAGCATCCATTCATACAGAATACATATGTCTATAAGAATATTATGACTTGCAGAATGGAAAATAGGAAAATAGCATGGACAGGTCACAAAAGAACATATTCAAGCAAAAATAAATGCCCAGGGAAAATAATCAGTCTTTCTTCACGAACAAATAAAAGACATCCCATATTCATGGATTAGAAGAATTAAAGTATCCATATTACCCCAAGTGATCTACAGATTCAATGCTATCCCAACAAAATTCCAATGATAGTCTTTACAGAAAAAAATCCTAAAATCCACACTGAATTACAAACATTGCATGGCCAACACAATGTTGAAAAAAGAAGAGCAAAGTGGGAGGCATCACACTAGCTGATTTCAAAATACATTACAAAGCTACGGTTATCAAAATAATGTGGTCCTGGCATAAAAACAAACACAGACACAATTGGAACTGAATAGAGAACCTAAAAAAAAACCATACATATTCACCAATCTGAAAAAGTTTCCAGTAATACACAATGAAGAAAGAACAGTCTTTTCAACAAACGGTGTTGGGAAAGCGGATATCTCACACCATACCTGAAAGTCAATTCAAAATGGATTAAAGACTTAAATAGAATATCTGAAACAACATATTCCTAGAAGTAAAAGCTTCTTGACATTGGCGTTGGCAATGATATTTTTGGATATGACATCAAAAAACACAGGCAACAAAAGCAAAAACAGAAAAGTGTGATTATGTTGAACTAGAAAGATGCACAGCAAAGGAAACTAACAAAAAAAGTGAAAAGACAATGTACAGAATGGGAGAAAATATTTACGAAACATTTATCTGATAAAGAGGCAATATAACAAATATATAAGAAATACAACTCAATAACAAAAATGAATTACCCAATCAAAAAGTGGGCAAAGGAACTGAATAGACATTTCCCTCAAGAAAATGTACAAATGCCAAACATACATATGAAAAGGTGTTCAATATCATCAATCATCAGGGAAATGCAAATCAAAATCACAAGGAGATATTACCATACATGTGTTATGAGATCTATTATCAAGAAATAATTATACAAACAAAATGATATGATGCTGAGAAACTGGAACCCTTGGGTCACTGTTGGTGGGAATGTAAATTGGTGCAACCACTATGGAAAACAGTATCTCAAAAAACTAAAAATGGAACCATGTATGACCTAGCTGTCCCACTTTTGAATATTTACCCAAAAAAACTGAAATATTAGCATTTCCATGTTAATTATAGCACCATTCACAACAACCAAGATATGGAAACAATATAAATGTCCATTAATGGATGAATGGATAAAGAATATTGATATATACAATAATGGAATATTATTCAGCCATAAAAAGAAGGAATTTTTGCCATTTGTGTCAATATGCATCCATTGACACAATATGCATCCATTGACCTGGAGGACATTATGCTAAGAGAAATAAGACAGACATAGGAGGACAAATACCACTTATTTGAGGAATCTGTAGTAGGAAAACTCATAGAAGCAGAGAATGGAATGGTGGTTGCCACAGGCTAGGGATAGGGGCAAATGGGAGATATTAGACAAAGGGAACAAAGTTTTGTTTATACAAGATGAAGTCCTAGAGATTTACTGATTAGCATAGTGCCTATAGCTAACAATAAGGTATACTTAAAAATGTACCAAGATGGTGGGCAGAGAGGGAGGGAGAAGTGGATTAAGGGGCATTATGATTAGCACACACAATGTCGGGGGTCATGGTGAAGGCAGTATAGCACAGAGAAGACAGGTAGTGACTCTATAGCATCTTACTATGCAGATGGACACTGATTGCAATGGGGGTGTGGGTGGGGGACTTAATAATATGGGTGAATGTAAAAAACACAATGTTGCTCATGTGAAAACTTCATAAGATTGTATATCAATGATACCTTAATTTAAAAAATGTACTAAGAGGGTAGATCTATATTAAGTGTTCCTATCATGAAAAATTATAAAATTAATAAATAAGAAGGTGGGAGGAAACTTACAGGTGACGGACAGGCTTATGGCATAGATTGTGGTGATGGTTTCATCAGTGTGTACTTATTTCCAAACATAAATTCTTATACATTAATTGTGTACAGCTTTGGTATGTCAAAAATTAATTAAAATTAGTCTTTTAATCCAAGAAATTCAAATTTAATTAAAGGATAGACTTTGAAAATTGTCATAATGGTGGAGAATTTTTTATAATGTGATCACCTATTATTGTTGAATATATGAAAATACACAACAGCGATAGAAACACAGATTTGTATATTATTTCTGGAGGGCAATTTAGTAATATACATCAAGAATGCTTGTTATTTTTTTCTAGTAATTAAATTTCTAGGAATTAATTCCCAGCAAAACATTAGACATATAAAGAAGCATTTAGGCACATGAAGATTTATGATAGTGTTATTTAAATTAATAAGTTGAAACTACTTAACTATTCAGCAATAGGTACAATTTTTATAATATTTGTGTTCATAAACTTTGTTGAACATTTTGCAGATACTAAGATAGTTCCTAAAACACTTATTAATAGGAGAAATATTATAGATATTAGAGCTGAATGCATTCAGGCATATTCCAATTAACTTCAGTTGTGTTTAAGTACACATATATGTTAGGACAAAAAATATAAGATTATAAAGGTATACTCCGAAATGTTAGCAAAGTCTATCTCTGGATGATATTATCATGTGATTTTTATTTAATATGTTTCACTTTTCTGTCTGATATCAGTGTCCTATAATATCTATATTATTTTTATATTCAGAAAAAAATTAATTTCAAATAAGTATCAGCTACAAACTGGCTAGTGTAATACAGTGGTTACAGGAATACAACTGGAATTACTGACTCAATATGCCTAAAAAATTATACCACTTACAAATTTTCAGGTGGGAAAGGCACCAATTAAGGATGTAGAATAGAGAGCCCAGATAAAAACCCACACATATATGGTCAATTACTATATGATACAGGAGGCATTAATAAACAATAAGGAAAAGATAGCCTTTTCAATAACTGGTGTTGGAAAACTGGACAGTTACATGCAAAGAAATGAAACTGGCTTATTGCTTAACTCCATACACAAAAGTAAACTCAAAATGGATAAAAGACTTGAATCTAAGACAT